CATATCTTTAGAGCAGGGGTGTCAAACTCATGGCCTATGGGCCGAATCTGGCCCACGGGATGCTTAGATCTGACTTGCAGTGCCCCTGCCAGCAAAACTGGAGCTTGGTAGGGCCGTGCATGGCCCTCCCAAGCTCTGTTTTCGCTGGTAGAGGGTTGCAGGAGGCCATGATAGCCAAAAGCGGAGCTCGGGAGCCTGTTTTCTCTGGAAGAGAGCTCAGGCCACCACAGATGTCCCCAATACAAGTAACATCGAGCTGGCCACACCCACCCCAGCCCGCTGAAGCCAAACATAACCCTGATGCAGCCTTCAATGAAATTGAATTTGACACCCCTGCTTTGGAGGAAACTATATCCTATGTGTGTTAAAAACAGCCTAACACCTTTAAATCTGTTGCCCTTGTAAAACAATCTCAGCTACTGGTAGAGACTTTGAACTAGCCCTGACTGAAGTTGTGCGCTAAGATGACAGGACCTGAACTGTACAGTAAAATCCTGAATCACTCTTTCCTTTCTCTCTCCATCTCCCAGCTTTATAAGAGTGCATTAAAATGTGCACTTGGTGTGGGGGAAAATAACCCTACCTAAAAATAAATCCCCTGCTATTAGCCTTTAAAACTGGCAGCAATTAGATACTGATTAATTTGAGGGAGGGCCGTATATCCTTTGGGGAAGGTACCGTACAGAGTTATCCCCTCACTCCCAGCATTAACCTCCCAAAACTATCCTGTTCATGACAATTATAGGTTTTTAGCACCACTAAGGGTATTTACAAGCTGGATTTCAATAGTGGTGATGGCCTTTTCAAAGGGGTTGAAGCACTGGGGCAAAAGGGGTGGCAGCCGAGGGCCGTGGGGCAGTTAACCCATCATAAATGCACATTTGTATTCCATACCCAGAAAAGGCCTCCAATAGAACATTCTTAATTGACACCCATAGAAAAATTTTAAAAGTAACTACTCTGCACTTCTCTGATTGAAGATAAGAACATTTTCTTGCCTAGGGTTAAAGCATGGAGCCTTCAGAAGCAGCAGAGGGCCTGTTTAAGATTCTGGGAGGCTCCTAGACAGAATGTTGATGACTCCCAATCTTTTCTTCTCCTTGCTCCGGGATCGGATTCTACAGGATCGGACCGGTTCTATAGACCCGGTTGTTATGATTCTGTGCAGTTCAGGAGAACTGACAAATCACGCCCCTGGCTGGCCCAGCCCATCTCTGCCCACCCCTCCCTCTCCTCCCCTCCCCACACAATTAATCTTTATTGTGCATGCGCAACATCACGCACATGCCCGACATCACTGACTGCGTTCTTCCCTGCCCAGTCACTCCTTAAAGTATTTCCTTTTTTTCTCCTCCTCATGACGATCAGCTATTCCTATGATCAGCTGTGCCGGGATTTCCCCCGCTGTCTTACTGCTTTGCCCAGGAGGCTTCCCTGAAGCCCAGGAAGGCAAAAAATGGAGGAGGTGAGGGGTCCTGCGTGCGCCCTTCAGGCTCATTTTTTTCCCTTTTTGGGCCCCAGGGAAGCCTTCTGGGAGCAAAAACGGTCCCCCAGGAGGCTTCCCTGAGGCCCAGAAAGCCCAAAAATTGGGGGGGGGTGCTGCAAAAAAGAGAAGATGCCACGCCCACCCAGTCACATGGCCATGTCCACCTAGCCATGCCCACAGAACCGGTTGTTAAAAAATTTGAATCCCACCCCTGCCTTGCTCCTTGTGTTGACATAATCCCCCCCTTATTGTTGTTGGGTTCCTCCCCCCCCCAAGTTTTGAGGTTCATTGAAACCCATGGCACAGTAAGCTTGCATGTGGAAATGCCAGATAATTTTTGAAGAGAACGATTTTAAGGCTTGAAATAAAAACTACAAGATAGATCATTTCAAATAAGTAACCATACTGTTTATATTATATCCTCCTTCCTGGTGTTGTTTCATCATAGCATGGGGAGTGAGGGATCTTCCAGGGTGGGTTGGGCAAAGAGTGCTGGGAATGTATGTGTAAGCCAAACAGAGTTAGACCAAGACATGAAGGTTCTCCCAGCTTCCTAACTAAAATTAGTTGGCACCTACACTGGGCAGCAGTGGAAGAAAGATGCTGGAGGAGAAGGGTCACTTTAGTGACAATGGCAAAGGAAATATTTCATAAAGTTCAGGAGAGGATAAAATTAAATCCTTCCTGTATTTTACTCAAAAAAAAAAAACCCCACAAGGATGGACAAGAGAAATTAACAGAGGAAGAGGAAGAATTAGGATCTAGGTTAGAAGTTAGAAGGCCAGAGAGAAAATATTTGCAGGACCAAGTTTCCCTATGTCTATAATGGACATTCTTATGTTTGCATGCCAGGACAGATTTTGTTTTAAAAATTAAGTATCAGCATCTTGAATTGGCTCCAGGATGAATAAGCAGACAAATTAGATGCTACAAGTAGTGGAATACAGCAGAGGCCTGGAGGAATCAAACTTTGAGAAGTGAGTTTTAGTGGATTCAGGGAGTTGTTAATATCCCTTTTGTGAGAGAGATGGTATGCCTAGAACTAACTAACTAACTAACTTATTTACTTACTTACTTACTTAATTTCCCATCTTTATTATTTTTACAAATAACTCAAGGTGGTGAAAGTATCCAATGTACGTTGAGAGAAGTGGTGGACCCTTTGGTTTTCATAATTACTATCTAGAGAAAGCATTTCTTTAGGGGGCAAGATGACCAAAATAAAAGGATGGTGGCTGCCCATTTGCAAATGTACTTTGATAAAAACTGATTTTTCAAGACCTATTTTAATCCTACTTCAGTTCTCAATGCAGGACCTGGCTTTCAAGCTAAGTGACATCTATTGCATGAGAAAGAGAGCTGGGTTGTGTAGTGTATTCAAATATAGACTTCTAAGACTACATTCCTATTGGTTAGTTAATGCAACGTAACGATTGGTTAATAACGACAGTTCGGATTGGCCGCCTAAGTGGCGGGAAGTTTAAATAAATGTCATTGGTTGCGAGCCGCGAGCAGCCGCTATAAAAAGGGCTGCCGCAGCTCGACTTCAGTTGAAGTTACTGGTTACTAATAAAGAGCTGAATTCAACTCCGGTCTTCGAGTCTGTTTTTGTCCTGGCGATAGAACAGGTTGATTCTACTGATTCTCTTGGTAGACATTAATAACATTGGTCAAGAGATATTTCTGGGAAAGCTCATCAGTTTGGGAACTGGGAGCATGTCTTCCTATATTTCCACATGAAATAAAAGAAGACAATGGAATGAAATAGGAAAGAAGATGGTATGATGGGGAGAGAAGTCAAGTTTGAAATAGGGGTATATGCACTAATATATAGGTTATCCAGCTGTGCATAGTGCTAAACTTTTCCAGTTTCTACTAAGCACTGTGGAGTTATGGTTAGACTGGGAAGACAAAGGTTATCCATGAAATTAACTGACTGATCTAAGCAAGCATCATCATTCAATCTAACTTCTCATGAGTTTGTTTCAAAAATAAATTTGGGAAGGGAAAGTACTGTGATAGCAATAGGTTTGTCATTTTCCATGGCCATGTTTATTTGAATTTCTACATAACATTCTTTACATAGATCTAGTCCTCTTTTAAAAGACCTCTAAACCTATGTATAGAAGATGCTCACTTAAGTCATGATAAACATCTTGGAAAATGCTATTCAGGTATTTTGCAGGCAGACATCTCTGTGGAAGCCCCAAAGCCAATTATTGAGGCAATGTGTCCATGAAGTACAATGCACGATGATTGCAAGAAATAAGATACAACTGCAGCAGCCAATATGAGCTGGCCGGTCCCTTGACCACACATCATCAACCACATTGTCGATGAAGCTGCTAGATTATGTTCACACTGAAAATTGTGTAAGGAGAAAGTGGAAAATACTACTTTAAAGCTGAAACAGCCAAAGATTATTTTAAGGTGCTTCCACTATGAGCTGGAGATGAGAAAAAAGACAATATCAAGAAGACACGACATATAAAAATAGCTCCTTGCCATGTTTCTGCCTTAATTAAGAAGCTGTGGTGGCGCAGTGGTTAGAAGGCAATATTGCAGACTAACTCTGCCCACTGTCAAGAGTTCGATCCTGACCTGCTCAAGGTTGACTCAGCCTTCCATCCTTCCAAGCTGAGAAAAATGAGGACCCAGATTGTTGGAAGCAACATGCTGGCTCCATAAACCACTTAGAGAGTACTGGAAAGCACCATGAAGTGGTATATAAGTCTAAGTGATATTGCGATTAATTAGAGAAGTGTGAGGATGAGTCTGTATAAGAACAAAGTGGATCCATCATCAATTTTGCCCTTGCTAGAGCAAGCTGCTACTGAGAGTTTATGATCTGAAGGGAGAATGGGAATAATCCCTGGAAAGGTCATCTGAAGGAGCAGAGGCCACTCAAGGAGATGCTGTGTTAGCTTCTAATAGGACAGATAATTTTAACCAATCTGATAAATTCCATCAAGGATGTGAGCATAAGAGCTGGCAGGTCTAGAGCGGTGGAAATGATGTGCTTAGACTTGGACGAGGTTTTTGACAAAACAGCCCTGCAAGCAAGAAGAGAAAATGTAGGTAGGAACACTTATGGGGAAACTCAATTACTGGAGAATGGATTTAGTTTTCAACCCTTGGGGATCGGTTGTGTGAAGGCAGAAGAAAGGAAGCAGTGAGCAAACTATGGAAGTGTGATGAAGGATGCAGAAGGAGCAGCTGAAGCTGGTTGCACCAGATCTTTTGCAGCACTGGAAAACTGAATATAGTAAAAATCAAGGAAGAGAGATAATGCAATGCAAATTCACAAAAAGGCATCTTTTGCCTTTGGAAATTCACATTTGAAGCAATGGAATGGAACAACCTACAATCTTACTATAGGTTATGATTCTGGGCAAACAGAATTCCATATTGAATGTCAAGCACTATAGCAGAGGACTTGACAGCTTTAAGACTTGTGGACTTCAACTCCCAGAATTCCTCCTCCAGTCAAGTTAGCTCAGGAATTCTGTGAATTGAAGTCCCCAAGTCTTAAACTTGCCAAGTTTGAAGATCCTTGCACTATAGCCGTGATGGCGAACCTATGGCACATGTGCCACAGGTGGCATGCAGAGCCACTTGTGCTGTCACACAAGCCACAGGCATACTTACCTCACTGTGCATTCGCGCGCCTCACAGTTGATTTTTTGGATGGTTTGAGGCCTTTTTCGGCATCCCAGAGGCTTGAAAAAAGCTTCTGCAAGCTTTGCAGGACAAATAATAGGTCCATTTTGTCACTTCCTGTAATACCGGAAGTGATGAAACGGACCTATTATTCAGCCTGCAAAGCCTGCAGAGGCTTTCTTCAAGCCTCTGGGAGGCTAAAAAAGGCCTCAAATTGGCCGAAAATCAGCTGTGAGGCGCAATGCAGATAAGGGGGTGGGATTGTGCATGCATGTGCAGTGGGTGTGGGGGCGCACACGCATTGCCTTCTGGGTGCTGGCATGCGAGCGTGTGTGAGCAATTTTTGGCACAGGAGCCCAAAAAGGTTAGCCACCACTGCACTATAGTGACAAATCTCATATAGTGATTTCAAATATCAACAAATAAATGCTCTGTCTTACATATTGGCAGAAAAAAAATCAGAAAATAAAATACAAGCTAAATAATCAAGACCTTGTTGAAGATCCAAACTTTATCAAGGACCTTGGAGTACTCATCTCAAATGACCTAAGTGCGAGAGCCCACTGAAACTAAATAGCCAAAAAGGCATTAAGAGTGGTTAATCTAATCCTACGTAGCTTCTTCTCTGGTAATATCACACTACTAACTAGAGCATACAAAACATTTGCTAGACCTATACTTGAATACAGCTCATCAGTCTGGAACCCATATCATGTATCTTATATTAACACAATTGAAAAAGTCCAGAAATATTTCACAAGAAGAGTTCTCCACTCCTCCACTCATTGCAGAATACCTTATGCCACCAGACTTGAAACTATGGACCTAGAAAACCTAGAACTACGCCACCTTCGGTCCGATCTTAGTATATAAAATCATACATTGCAATGGCCTACCTGCAAATGAATACTTCAGCTTCAATCATAACAATACAAGAGCACACAATAGATACAAATTCAAGGTTAACCGCACCAAACTTGACTGCAGAAAATACGACTTCAGCAACAGAGTGGGCAATGTCTGGAATACTCTACCTGACTCTGTGGTTTCTTCCCCAAACCCCAAAAACTTTAACCTTAGACTGTCTACTATTGACCTCACCCCCTTCCTAAGAGGTCTGTAGGGGGCGTGCATAAGCGCACCAACGTGCCTACAGTCCCTGTTCTATTGTTTCTTTTATTTTTCTTATAAGTATCTATCTCATGTGTTCAAAACTATATTTATTCTTATACCTGTATCTTATAAGCGATTGACAAATCAAACAAATACTAAAAAAAATAAAAATACGATCCAAACTGAAAAAGGGGAATTCCGTTTATGTTAGAATAAGCAGGAAAGTAATAATTGTGACAAAAGCTTTTTGGGGTGGGAAAAAAAAATCTGCAAAACGATGTGAAATAACCCCCCTAGTTTAAAATGAGGACTAGAAACACTGCTACCATTTGATAGCATCAGTTAACCAGACTTACTTGATTGTGGCAAAGTCCTCACGCTCCCGCAAGAAGAGGATAAATTGGTATAAAGAAGTTGGAAACCACTTAGTACCTATTGCATGGTGCCTTTGGTGTTTCTTCTTTCCAATCCTTCAATAATTTCTTTTCTGTGAAGTTTTTCTTAACCCAACAGGTCCAGTGGTTCCAGAGCAAATGGTGATGGGGCCAAAATAATGACATGACAATAATGGTATAATGATGTCATTGCAGAAAGACAGCCATTATGTGTTTGTGACCTAATGCCAGATGCAAACACAAGAACTCTTTGAGTTATGGCTCCAACCAGAATCAGAATTTCCACTGCCAAGCAAGATGGATGTTAAGTGAGTCACTGCAATTTTACCACCTTTCTTGGCACGGTTGTTAAGTGAATCATTGCTATTAAGTGAATCATACAGTCGTTAAGTGAATCCATCTTCCCCATTGACTTTTCTTGCCAGAAGCCAACTGGGCAGATATGTAATGACAACCATATGACCCTGGGATGTTGTAGCCATTGTAGATAGATGCTGGTTTCAAAGCGCCTGGATTTTTATCATATATCATGGGGATGCTACGACAGTCATAAGTGTGAGGAGGACCACTCATAAGTAACCTTTTTTCAGTGTCATAACTTTGAACATTCACTAAACTGGTGATTGCAAGTCAGGGACTACCTGTATATAAGTGGGGACATTTGTATGATGACCTTATCATACACATGTTGTCATCCTTATCCACTCCAACCATACTTTATTTATTTAAAGCAGGAGGGGGAAACTCGACTTAACATTGAGGGCTGCGTCAGGGTTGTGTTTGACCTCGGGAAGTGGGGCGTGGCCGTTGGGGTAGCCAGATAGACATCACTTGTGCTGGGGGCACTTGTGGTGGCTTGAGCACTCCACCAGTGAAATTGTGTGAGACACCCGCCCTCCGAGCTCCATTTTCACTGGTAGAGGGTTGTAGGAGGCCATCCAGGGGTGGGATGCTACTGGTTCTGCCCGGCTCTATAGAACCGGTAGCTCTGAAGAGCAGCAGACATCAAACCAGTTCTGTGTCTGCTTGTTGTCCCACCAACCTGCCCGGGCTCTTACCTGACTTTTATTTCCTGCTTTTTAAACCTCAGTTGCTTTGCGCGGCACAGCTGAGGTTGAAAAACCAGGGAAAAAGTGGCTTTCCAAATGCTGCGCACCTGCGCGCAGCACTTTTCAGCCATCTGGATGGCACAGCTTAAGCTTTTTTTACACATGCACGCAGCGTGCATCTGGTGCGCGTGCGTGTGAGGTGCACATGGTCACCGAACCGGTAGTAACACTGGTTGAATCCCACCACTGAGGCCATTGCAGTTGAAAACCGAGCTCTGTTTTCACTGGCAGAGGCTCTGCAGGCTGGTCCTTCATTCTTCCCAGGGTGGCCTCATGGGCCAGATCTAAGCACCACGTGGGCCAGATTCTGCCCGCGGGCCTTGAGTTCAACATCCCTGATTTAAAGGAATGATGACCAATTCCTTGAAAAGATCTTTATGCATGGGAGCTGACAGCTGTATCCAAGATCTGGGAATCTGTCTGCCTTGCTGGTCTTCCTGATTGGAGAGAGAACTATTAGTATGTTCAACCATACATGCATATGATTCACATGATTCACCTGCATTCATCACCTAAATACAGGTGATCCTTGACTTACGACTACCCAAAATTTCTGTTGCTAAGTGAGACATTTGTTAAGTGAATTTTGCCCCATTTTGGGACCTTTCTTGCCATGTTGTTAAGTGAATCCCCGCAGTTGTTAAGTTAGTAACGTGGTTGTTAAGTGAATCTGGCTTCCCCACTGACCTTGTTGTCAGAAGGTCGCAACAGGGGACCACATGACCCCGGAACACTGCAACTGTCATAACTATGAGTCATTTGCCAAGTGTCTGAATTTGGATCAGGTGACCATGGGGATGCAGTAACAGTCGTAAGTGCGAAAAACGGCCATAAGTCACTTTTTTCAGTGCCATTGTAACTTTGAATGGTTAGTAAGTGAACTGTTGTAAATCGAGGACTACCTATATGTCAAGACTTTTTCAAACATCCAAGAAATGGGGGGAATTTGCCAATATCCCCTAACACCCTTTTCAGCCTTATAGTAATTTCAATAGCACCTAGACTTAGACGCTGCTTTACAGTGCTTTAAAACCTTCTCTAAGTGGTTTACAAAGTCAGCCTGTGTTTGCATGTTTAGCCAAACTCCCCGGAACTGAATGTGAGTTGCTTCTTCCTCTTTGCTCCTGCTTTGGAATAACCCTTTCCTCGTTTTCTTCAAATTTAGCAACTTTAATCTTGGATATTATTTTGTGTCTTTATGCCTTTTGCGTGTTACTGAACCGATGCAATCTTAACAACACTGCAAAGATAAAAGATAAAACCTCCTTTGAGTTCAAGTTCAATCCCAGGGGACTTCTGGAAATCTCCATATACTTTTCATCAAAATGTGAAAGAAGTTGCTTCCCATTGCTTTCTTCCAGGTTGTTGTTGTTGTTTTTAAAAACTTTCTAGTGTAGCCTACAGCCCTGGGTCTCCTGTCGGTCTCTCCTCCAAGTCCTAATAAGGTTTGACAGTGCTTAGCTTTTTTAGATTATCCAAGGTCAGCTGACCCATTTGAAAATCTGCTCCAAGAAGGGAAGGGTGACTTAATGATTCTGACAAGGGCTAGCCAATCAGCAGTGTGTTAACTCTTATCCTTTCTGGTAGGTTTGTTCCCAAGAGGCAAACAATAGCTTCAGGGTAGGGAATTAGTTAGGGGAACAATGCAGAGAAGAGTCGGGGCAGGGCCCTGGTTTTCTAGCATCCTTGTCCTGACTGGATGTTATGGTTTGCCGGCAGCAGGTGTGGACGGCTGAGGTTTCTGAGAGCGAGGACTTGGATGAGGGGCCTGTGTGTGATGCAGGGACGGGGCCAGGACTTTCAGAGACTGGGATGCTGCCTTCGGAGGTTGTGGAGTCTGGCAGCAGGGATGAAGAGGACCCCGGGGAGCCTGTGCTCAGGGCTGCTTGAAGGAAAGAGTAGCTGAAGCAGCAAGCGTGACTCAGGAGTAAGGCTGGAAGGTGATGGCCCCTCCCATAAGGGATAAAAGCCAGCATTTGGGGTTGGCTTCTTTGCAGGAAGCAAAGAAGTTCTTTATGCTCAGAGTTCTCATCGAAGCCCTGCTTACTCCAGTTTGTTTTTTTTGAAACTTCTGGCTTGTGATATTTATCTGCAATTAGTCTTTTGTTCTTGGCAGCCTTTCGCAACCTTGAATGGGCTTGCTCTTATCTGGGACAATTAGTTTGAAATGACTCTTGGCTGTGAATGCACAGAATTCACAGCATCACATTAAAAGGGGTCTGCTTTTATGAACAATTTGTGTTTGTTTGATTTGAACAAGGCTTGGGTCAGAACA